TTAAAGATCGTCAAAGGGTATTTAATTTACGATAAAGTAAAGAAAAAAGAATTTTCAATATGAATGACACGAATCAACACACGAAGCTTAAAAATTACAATTAATTACAATTAATTATTAAAGATCGTCGAAGGGTATCTAATTTACGATAAAGTAAAGAAAAAAGAACTTTCAATATGAATGACACGAATCAACACACGAAGTTTAAAAATTACAATTAATTACAGTTAATTATTAAAGATCGTCGAAGGGTATCTAATTTACGATAAAGTAAAATCGGGAAACCGGCTCGTGTCTCGTAAGATAGGGAGGGGGAACGGTGATGGTCTCTGACTCACCCTCGGTGAGAAAGAATTACGAGCGTCGAATGTTCGACCTCTCATAGAAGTCCCCGGTTTTTTCTTAGAAGTCCACATTTACACCGCGTTTGTCTCGTGGGATCTCGCAAGACGGAAGAAGGAAGACCCCCGACTTGTAATCAGGACACTTGGATTGCATAATGCTAATGGGAAACATGACGTATATCAAACGGAGGAAGATCATTTATTTATACTTGAGGCACGATTTTAATCGAAAACACTTTTTCCTCTTTAGACTTTTATTTAAAGTACCAAGAACGAGTAATTTTTCTATTATTTTCTCACATTATTTGTGAAAATGTGTTATAGAAATGAATAAGTTTGACAATAAGTTTATTATATATCTAATAGAATTTGTCGATTTTTTTTTTTTTAATTTTGTGATACGAATAAATCATATATCGAGAAATTCCACGAATTCTATCACTGTAGATTCTATTTCCATAAAAAATAATTACTTCAATTTAGATAGAAATTGTCCTCGTGACACAGTTTGTAGATAACGAATGCAGATAATTTGCAACAATGTTAGTTTAATTTTTAATTTCAATTTAATTTCTTCATTGATCCATCGAAGGTATAAATTATATATACAGATAATTTTCTTGACTAACGTACGTTTTATTTTATCTATTGGAAAAAGAAAAATTGTAAGATAAAAATGACTAATGGAAGGAAATAAAATAAATTAATTTGTCGTTTAGAAAATTTTAAAAATCTAATCGACAAAGATGAAAAGAAAGAGAACACCCTCGTCCAATTAGACGCCCAACCCCCTCCAAAGCGTAGCTTTGCAAACTACTTCGCACGCTACACCGGTGGCTATCGATCAGGGGGCCGTCCAAAAAACGATGCATTACGTAAAACTTGTCTCGACCCGATAAATCCTCTTCGATAAATCTTGCAATTTTCACTCGATAAACCGTGCGCTCTTCTTTTCCATAATCCTCTCCATAATCATTCATTCGAACGCTCGAAGTGAATACTCGTCTCGGAGCCGGTGAAAAAACGAGCAAAAATTTATCGCAGCCAGGTGGGGAACGACGGTTGAAACGACGCAGAAAATCTATTATATCCGTTTCTCGACGATCGTCTACCGCGACGGGAGAAAGAGAGCGATAGATTGCTCCTCTCTACGATATCTAAATTTAAGAAGTGGCACCACCAACGTTTCCTTCGATACGATTCGTTTCTGTGGACCACGCGCCGCCGTTTCCTTCTAAATCGTGGAAAACGGTGATGCGATGTGGGGTGAGGACGGACGCGTACCACGATCAATTAAGGAATCATTCTACGCGTAAAAATAAATCGAGAAAAATAAAGGAAAAGAACAATATATATTTCTCTTTATTTTTCGCTCGAAGTATTTTTAATTTTTCTTTCTTTTTTTAAAAAAAAAAAAAAAAAAAGCGAAAAAATTATCTATTTCTTTTTTTTTTTTTTTCCACGCGTAAAATAATCCATCGTTCGTAAATATACCCTTATAACTTTCGACATTTTCGGGAACGTTCTTATTTTCTCCCATCCAATAGAAATCACACTTTTATCGACTTTAATCGTCGAATAAAAAGGCGACGAAGACGGGCCAATCAGGAGAGGGAAATGAGGAAGGAGCAGGAGGAGGGAGAGGGGGAGGGAAAGTTACACACGGATGTTAGAAATAGACGAATAGGCGAATAGAGGGAAGATGTGGATGAAAACGGGCGAGGAGGAGAGAGAGAGAGAGAGAGAGATATGCCACTGCGAGGAGTAGCAGCGGTATGCGAAAAAATACACTCTTGGCACTTGGCTTCGGCACACTACGCGGATAAATAGCGCGCGTGGGTGCGGCTCGCCGATGTCTACGATGAGCCGCCACACGCCACGTTTCCACGCCGGAACGAGTCAGCGAACGAATACCGAAAAGAATGAGAAGGAACCGAGGAAAACACCCAACTTAGCCTGTAAGCACGTACCGTACCACTTAAACACTTTTCACAGGGGGGAACAATGTACCGCGTTCTTGTTATACATCGCGTGTGTATATATATATATATATATTCTATATTCCCGTTCAGGGTGCAACGATCCTAGGGTGTGATCTATTTGAGAGCAAAACTCTTTAAGAATTGTTACGACAGTATTATTTCCAGAGGACATTGACAATTATTCTTGGACAATCACTCTCGACCAGCCAGAATATCCGAATAGGCTCCCGTCCATACAAATGGCCAAGTAAAGATACATTTCAGAATTGTCGAGGTTTAAAAATCTTCGAAAAACACGCTTTCCAAAGCGATTCTCGAATATATTCGCGCTCCAAATATTACACGAGATATGGATTTTCCAACGACAATTTGGCATTTTTATTGTTATCGCGCGTACAATCGTAAACCTAGAAATGTAAATCCAGCAGGATTGTCATCATCGCGTGCGCTGGACAGTAAATCTATATATCTAAATGTGCTTCTGTTGTTGATTATCGTTGATGGTTCGAGAGGATAAAATTCGTTGATAAGAAGATCTTAGGAATTAGTTTCACTAAAAAAAAGCTACTTGCGCGTATTTTGTTGTGACAATTATATATATCGATTAAATTCAAGCCTCGATTTTTACCTTTGTCATTTAGCATATGACACTTTTCGTACGATCGTGAGAATTTGATGATACACGCTGTGTACGTAAAAATTAAAGACTCCGCGTAAGACATCGCTCGTTCCGGGTGGAAATAAATGGCGAAGTAAGAAGGATTCAGCTCGTTCGATCCACGAATGGGGAAAAACTGGGGAGCCCTAACGAATCTCGGTGCAACAGTTTCCTCGACACTGGATTTTGACGCAATGCGTCACATACTAGTTACTGTCACCACTTGACTATTCTCCGAAGAAAAAGTCGACCTAAAAAGCGCTGAATGCATATCTAGCTTCTGGCCCATCTGCCTTTTCCCTCTTTGTCTCCCTCCTCTCTCTCTCTCTCTCTCTCTCCCTCTCTCTCTCTCTCTCTCTTAATTAATCTCCCTTAATTTCTTCCGATTCTTTACTACTGCATGACGAACGAGACGAGATGAGATGAAAGGAAGCGTGAAAAGGGGAAACAGAAGAAGGAAAAGAGAGAAGGGGGGGGAGGGGAGAGAAAGGAAAGGACGAGGGAGGCGCGTAACGAATCGCGAAACAGAGCAGCAGCATTTTAATAATACACATATCTGCATGCTCTCGCGCGCGAGTGGACACGTTGCAGGCGCCAACATGCCGTGAATATTTCTCTTATTTCCCAGGCAGACGGGCCCGTGCTGTTTACTTTTCGTGTTTCAACCAGGCGGACAGCGTGCCTCGCGCTTTTCGACAAGCAGATTCGACTTTACCGAGTCGGATACTCTTCGATCTTTATCTACCCGATGTAACAAGATATCAATGTAATATGATATCCCGTGAATTCTATTTGACAAAATTTTATCTCGCAATTGGAATCTAACGAGGTTCTCGAGGTTCCATCTTTCGAGCGGTAAAAAGTTTTCGAATAATTCGAATACGATGGAATTTTTCGTTCGAATCGATATACGCTTAACTTGATTTCTCATTGATTTCGTATTGATCTGAAATGTATATTTTGCTATTATTCGAAGAAAATTCTCGGATGGATATCAAATTTAAAAGCGTTCTATTGTGAGTGAATCGAGTGAACGACGTTTGTATCGACGATACAACTTGTTAATTGAAAAATTAATAGTTTTGCTCGCCAAATTGTCCAATTATCCCATTTATTTCTCTGTTCTGTTCTCATCAGTTTTTATTTTTAGGTTTCAAGTTTTTTTAAAATTAATTAATGAATTAATAATAACCATCTTTAATTGTTCTTGCTTCCTTATCCTTATTAATATATCATATTAATATTACATGTCAATAAAAATGAAAATGAATTATTCAAGTGTTTCAAAATGAATAGATACTTAAGATGATAGAAAATTGTGATAAATAAAACGATACTTTTAATCAATCCTAAAAAAGATTCTTCGTTCTAAAGAAAGAAATTTCTTTTGACGTAATACGTTCGTTTTCTTAAAGGAATTTTCATCGTACGTTACATAACGACCTATACGTTTCCATACGAAATCCATTATTATTTTTACTTATTATAAAATTTGTTTAAAAACAAAAGAAACCTTATAAATATATCATTTATCGAAGACGATACAAAATTTCTACCTCTATTTACTTTCACGTTACGCAAAAACGACAAAAACCAAATAAAATTATCCCGCTAAAAAACATTCTTCGAAATTTCACAACATCTACGTACTTAACGCGTAATTTCCATCCGTACACGTGCGGATAAAAAGAAAAAAGAGACCATCTCGAGCGCAAAAAAACGTTGAGACGGAAAAAGTGTTGATACGGTTAGAGTGGAGATGATTCGCGGACCCTTTGGTGGGGCCTTGAGTGGTGATCGATTCTACTCCACACCCTTTAACCCTTCGCGATCCAATCGACCTTCTCCTTATTCCAATTAACCCAATAACAACCCCTTCTTCAAAATCCATATCTTCTCCAAAATCTACATCCCCATAATCCATCCACGTATTATCATATCCCTACACGCGCATACCCAGAGCAAATACATATACGTGTACGATAATCTCTATATAAAGAAACCGGTAAAACTTACCAGGAGAGACGGCGAGTGCGAGGAAGGCAGCGGCAGTGGCGAGCAGCAGTATCCTAATCGCGGTTCCGCCAGCCCGTCTTCTGCCCGGCCTCGGCGCAACGTGACATCCATCCCCGTGGCCGTGTTTCGATTGCACGTCGAGGACCACGTAAGCCGGTTCATCCGTTTGGCAAAGGAGTGGGTCCTCGTTCTCGGCGTCGTCCGCGACGCGGGACGCCGCGGCAACGCGTCTACGCCGTCTCGGCCGTGGTGACTGCTCGACGTCGCTAACACTACAGCTGCTGCCGATTCCGTGCTCGATTACCGGACCGTAATACATGGCCTGGAGGAGCGACCACCGCCGTGCCACCGGGTGCTGCACTCGTCAGCGTGTCCTCGTCGCAACGGCGCCGTACGCGACCGGGATTGCGGCTCCGCGAGCACCAGCGGCGTCCTTACCTACGACACCCAGCGATCTCAAGGATCCGCGGCTAAGAGGCATCACCACGACCTGGCTCGAGCCGAACCGATCACCACCAACACGCCCGGCACCAATCACCAACTCGTGATTCTTTCTCCTCCTCCTCCTCCTTCTTCTTCTTCTTCTTCTTCTTTCTCTTTCCTCTTCCGAGGGAATAATTTATAATAACTTCTTCCGATACTTTCTTAACTTTGCTGCTTCGTTGTTATCTCAAGCGAAGATTAGGTTACTTTCTTCCTTAGATATATATATATATATATATGTATGTGTGTATATATATATGTATATATATATATATATATATACGTTTATACAGGTGGTTTGTACAGGTAAGGTTTATCGGTAGATCTCTGGCGCTTTCATTTCTTCCCTTCTCGTTTCTTTTTTCCTTTTTCAGTCGTCTCGGCGTGTGTACACCCCTGTCCGCTCACTTCGACAACATGGCAAAATGGGAGGTAGAGGAAGGGAGGTATAGGAACTACGCGAAAGGTTCCCGTAGACACGACGGAAGTCACCCCGACGGAACTCGACTCGGTGAAGAGGAGGAACCGCGTGCGATCCGGCACTCGTACGCGTCGGAGGGAAGAAACCCTTTAAACGAAAGCGTACACGCTGTATTACCGGCGACACGTCGCGGCTCTCGCGGTGTACGTGCACGAGTGTGCAGCCCTGCGTGCGTGTAAGGGAGCAACGAAAGGGTTCGTCGCACTCCGAACCCTTTTCTTCCCTCTCTTTCTCTTCCTCTCTTCTCGTCTCCTACCACACGAATCCTATCGGTCTAACACCGGTAAAAAGTACGACGAAAAGAATGTCCCCGCCATTGAACAGCACCGCGTGTCACCAACCACCTTCGTTGTCGCACGATTACTCCTCTACAATATTTCCTTCCTTCCCTTCTTCCCTCGTCGTATCCTTATACTCCTTGTAGTCCTTGCGAGCGGCAACCGGCTGCGGCTCGTCGTATGTCCAGCGCGCCTGGACACCACTACCGTCCGGCAGAAAGTGTCGACTGCCACGAGGTGGACACCTCTGCGAGCCTCTGCCAGCGGCAGCAGCACCAGCGAGACAGCGGCGACGACGGCGGCGGCGGCGGCGGCAGCAGCAGCAGCGGCGGCAGCAGCAGCGGCGGCGGTAGGCAGCACCGGCGGTGCTGGTAGCAGTGGTGGTAGTAGCGGCACTGACAGCTGCAGCTGGTGGTGCACCGGCGCATCCGGCTACACCACGCATTCGTGTACGGAACGCAGTCACGTCCTAGGCTACTTTTACTCCGTCCATATGTATCTGCCCGTTCACGTCTTCTCACCGATACTCCTGATTTATAATATTACGAAAAATTAATAAGAAACGCGAGATACATATACGTATATATTCTCCTCTATATACATATATATATATTACATACACGTATATATAATATATATATATATAATATATATCCGTCGTTTTCTATTTTACGAGCGATTCCGAAAATTGGCCGTTCATATTTCGTATAAACCGGGAGAGAAATAATTGGTAATAATTGGAAGGCGGACAGATCCGTCCTCGTGGACTCGTCGGCGTGTACTGAACCTCGTGGACACGGTCCCGCGTGTGTCGTCCCCCGTGTCTGTGCGGCAACGTCAGTGCCAGCCAGAGTAGTGGAGAGTCTCCTCGCGCTCTAAGCTAGGCACTCGAGGCTGGCAGCACCACGACGCGGTGGTCTCTGGTCGCGCGACTGCTGAGCGGTTGTTCGGCTACGTCCGTGGCGAGCTCGTGCGGCCCGCAACGCTCTCCGCCGCACACGTCCGCCGACTCGCGCGCAGCCGGCTTTCGCGAGCGCGCTCTATACTGGCCGTGCGCCTCCTCCCTCCGCCCCGCCGTGGGGGATAGGAGGGCAGAGCAGGACGGAGCTTCGAGGTAGGAGAGGACGCGGTGGTAGTTGGAAGGCCGGTGGACGGTGAGACGGAGCGTATAGCTTTCGGGTATAACGGCAAGCGGCAGCAGCAGCGCCGCGACGCGCCACCACGTCGGGAACGCGCCCCTCGATACCCCGCCGATGCCATCGGCCTGGCCCGAAATCGATGCCCCGCAACGCGACGTCTCGAAACCACCCCCCGTTGCCCGACCTGTGCCATCAACGGAGCGCTGCTATACTCGCACGCTCTTTCCTCCCCTTCCCCCCTCCTTCGCTCTTCCTACTCCCCCCTCCCTCCTACCACGCGTTTTCCTCTTTACTCCGCGGCGACCAGTGTCTTTCTCCTTCTCATCCTTCTGGTTACGTGTTGAGGCTCTTTCGCTTTTTGGGCGGTGCTGCCTTCTCCCGCTCTATCTGTCTATTTATTCTTTCTTTTGTATGCGATTGCTACCTTCTTTTATTTCATTATATTTCTGAGATTATATTGTTTTTTCAATGGAATTTTTCATTTTTCTTCTCCTGTCTCCTTGCATCCTTTTAAATTTCGATCGTTCGTTCTTTGAATCCTTTCTTATTATCGTTCTCTTCCACAATTGTTTTCCTTTTGTTTCGATTCTTTCAGATTGGTTATACTTTGAAAATGTAACACAAGCGAACTGTTAAAACGATAAATTTTAATCCTTTTGAATTATGAAAATAAGATTCTTTAATGAAGAATATTAAAGAGATTGTAAAAATTATTTAATTATTAATTTGTTCTACCTATTTTTTATTTACTTTGTTGGATAACACCGTCTTTGTTTACCGGGGTTCAAGAGATGCATAGGTGCGATAATTTTGATCGTTTTATCGTACCTATCGGGGGTCGCATCTTTCCTCCGTGGAACGAACGGATACGTATTCTCTTTTTACAGCGGGCTGCATGAATGGTATACCATGAACGGCGGTGTCGTGTGACACGGATCGATCGCGGAAACTAATAGCTTGCATCGATGAGGGAATTGCACTGAAATTGGCGTTTTGTAAAATACGCTTGTTTTGAGAATGATCAGTTGATCAGTCATCGATTATTCAAACAAAATTCTTTTTCAATTTCTTTTCATTCTTAATTCTTCTATGCTCTTTAAATCATTTTTCACTCGATCGTATTTTTCTAAAAAGGATTTCTTACGTTTAAAAAAATATATCAAACAATCGTTGGGATTCGAAACAAGTTTTAACTTCCCTAGAAATCGATTATCGTTAAATACAAATATTATTTCTGCTATATAACGTTACACTTATATACATAATTGTATGTATTCAGGTAATATAATATTATTACTGCGGTGTAACATAATTCGTGGGCCGAAGTAAATGCGATCCATAAAAATTTATCGCAACTTTTTGTCCATTTTTCTTAAAGTTGGCACACGGCTCCCAGAACACGTAAAACGCCCCTTTTGTTGGATTACTCGACCGATATATATCCAAGCCTCTACAAAATGATTCCATCGGAATAAAATGAAGTAATCAACCGAATCGAGAATACATATATATATATAGGCCAGTCTTGAAACGTTGCAAGCATTATCAATCATCTCCTAGATTAAAGACTCTGAAAAAAAAAAAAAAAAAATAACCTATTTCATCCATCATCACGAATTACAAGATTAATACAAATCTTCTATATACAATAGACATAAGAGATAACATCTCCATCTGATGCAATCCGAAACAGTGCATTGCATAATCCAAACCTGAAGACGAACTAGCCCGAAAGGCGTCCGGGCGCACGATTCCCCTTCCAGAACCTATTTGTCCTAAATTAGGATGGTGAAAAAAAATTCAGAAACGCTTCCAGATCACTCCACAATGGTATCAATAAACCATGGAGTCGCCAGTCGCCGCGAGAACCGTCTGCTCTCCCACGAGATTTCCGTGGAAAGCGGGACACGCCGCGCGTTCCATCCTGAGTCGCCTTGGAGATGCTCCTAGCAGCCAGCCAGAGGAGTCAATAGACTCTACGTTGCGGCAGATGTACGTATCGATTTTGGAACGTTGATTCGCGCGTGTTCCAGAACGATACTGTTGCCCCCCATTGGACAGGGAGGCACGGGGAGATGTTGCATGGCGTCTCATGTTGGAGTTGCGCTCCTTTTTCCATGAACGACGACGTCCACGTCGGCAGCAGGCATGCGGGACGAGGCAGGGGGTTTTGGGAGCACCTGGAGGCCACTGGGTGGCCGGCATTGCCCTCGCCAGGTGGTTGCAACTTGTTGTTGCGGCTCCCCGAAACCTTTCTGCCAATGTCTCTATGGTGTCAAGCAACATTCGAGTGCTTGACTTGTTACCATTAAACTGTAGATTTAATTAACGTTTAATTAACAACTCTTGCTGATTTGTGTCGATGATTTATATTAGTATTTTGTATGTACTTTAACTGTTTATTGTTTATTTTTAGTAGTACATTGTATGGTTCAATCGTGTCGTGTCCTTTTATCCTGAGAGAAAATCGAAAAGAGAATTGAAATTTCAATGAAACATTCACAGGAAATTTATTTTCGAAATACTGGACTTTAAATCTAGAAAATTAGTCATATTGATGATATTTTCTTAGTATTAGTTATTTTATATATTCATTAGTAGAGTTGCTATTAATTTTCATAAATTAAAGAATTTAAATCGATTTTAATATTTAAAAGGATTAATTTCGTGATGATAATAAATTAAAAACAGATATTCTCTTATCCAGAAAATTTCATAAAATATACTTACGATCGGGAGAAATCAGAAATTGATTTATTACTCCTTTTCCTTGCTTTATTTACGAGTGCATAGTTCTCTATTATAATCGATTTGAAAAATTTATCCAAACATATCCAATCATGCCAATTATATATTCGATATATTTTATGACACATTATCTTTGTCCATTTCTAACGAATATTTATTGCTTCCTTTAACGGCCTGAAAATAAAATAAATGATGAAAGATTTTATACAGAAAGCCAGACACAAGGATAGTTTTTGATTTACCATAAAGCAATCCATTTTTAAGAAGTATGATGCAAGATTATATAACAAGATTCCTCGAAATTCAAAATTATTTAGAATCACGTGTTTAAGCAAGAAAGTTTGTGAAAATGGGAAAACATATGCAGCTGCTTTCCATGGATCATTTACGATGCCCGTTACCCTTGGCTGAGAGCTGATACGTCCTTCAGGCACGACCCCATTGTCCACGGTGAAAGGTATATACGTGGACGATCTTCCGCAAAATAAAAAGGAGCCTCGGTGTGGTCACCCCTCGTGTGGCACGCGCCACGATCCACCTTTCTTTTTTCTTCATCGTGCGGCCAGCCGTCGCCTTTCAGATCCCTCGGATAAGGAATCCTCCCTACTGCGAGCGGGGGAACTTTTTAGAATGTTACTCGTTCTGCGTACGAATGAAGGAGAGAGAGAGAGAGAGAGAGAGAGAGAGAGAGAGAGAGGGGGAGAGATCTTACGGCGCCTTTGATGTTGTTTTCAACACTGCCCATGGACTGTCGAACGTCGTGGTGCCCATTCAGCTTTGGCAATGGTGTTGCCAAGGAATAATGTCAAGGAAGATTTATATGTAAAATTGGTTTCGACAGATGATGGTTAATTTTGCTTGAGAATTGGCTTTGGGGTGGCATCTATGAAAAATTCTTAATAATTAATCTGATAATTATATATATATAATATGTATAATATGTACAAAATTGATTGATGATTTGATAATTAATGTATTTTTGGATAATGGATGAATGCACTTATATTGTCTAATTGTAAATTAAAAGACTTTCACTATAAAGTTATTTCATTAAAGTTAAGTAAAGTATTGTAAAGCACATAATATATTTACTCAAATAATTGATTTTCTATAAACGATATTTTTAATTTTGAAAGTAAATCTAATAATTAAATTCTATTTCTGCAATATGTTTATTGTATCGGTTGAAAAAAAGAAAAAAAAAAAAAAAAAGAGGAGTAAAATTTCCTGGTAATTAGATAAATAGACGGAACAAACGAGGCAAAGGAAAAAAGAAACAATGCGTATATTATTCTGCAGTATACCCTTCTGGTTAAATATAGCATCATATTTCGATATCACAATTTCACCGGGGGGTGTTTTCCCCGGTGCTGCCCTTGAGAATTTAAAGAAACTGGGATAAACGGCACCCCACGTTGCGCCTATTGCACAGCCCGGATTCAAACCTCGATGATTGAAGGCATAAAGGAAGACAAACAACGAATTCTTGGGGGAGCAGGTGAAATAACTGCTCCTCTTAAGCTCACATTCGATTGTTATAATTGGTAAAAGTTTTAGTAATATTTTTTTCAAACATGTTTTAAAATTAAATTATATTTATATCAAAATAATTAACTAATTAAAATTAGTTTAAATCATTTTCAAAATATTTAAAAATTATAAATTATAAACAATTTTTTAAAAGCTGAAACTTCCATAGAATCAAACTTTTGATAATATCAAAAACTATTCTATTGTTGTTTAAAAACGAAGTTGAAACAATCAAGGAAGACAACGAACGAAATAAATTTGTGAATCTAATGCACTGACCCTTCCATGTATCTTCGAAGAGACCACGTGGAAGAATGACAAGAAAATACGAGTTCTTCTCGCGCAAAGAAGACACAAGAGGGCAGTAAGAAGGGGTTCCGCGCTGGGGGGATGGCCGATACAAGTGGGACATTCAAGAAAGGGGTTAGGTCCCATACGGTGACAACGGCAAAACTCGAAACGACGTCGTCGGACTTGGCTTCCGGCCATTTCCTAGCTATCGATCCACGAAGCGTTACGACGAAGCGCCCTACGTGCAATTATAGGTGTATCGTGTGTATAATACGACCCTGGTACGTGCATAGCCGGGGGATAGATCGTTGGCATACAAGGACGATCTCCGAAATTTGGCCGCGACATCGAAATCGCGAATTCTTCGATAGCCGCTTGAGAAACGCGCCGAGGACAGTTGTACTGTTGCTTAAAATTGTTCCACCTAGGAGAATTTCAAAAACGGGTCAAATTTCATATAGTAAACATTATAGCAGTATATACTTATTACATATGTTACATATATTATATATTGACAATAATAAAATTATATAATTTATATAATAAATTTGTAAAATATTTATATTTTATTTTGGTTAAGTTTAGACACGATTTAACATAAGAAAAAATGAAATTTGAATTTAAATTAATATTATTCGTTAAAATTAAGTTGTTAAGAAAATTTCGAGATTCATATAATTTGAAATATTATTATTTATTTTATTATTTGAATAAACGCATTCGGATCGAACAAATATAAATATTTATATTGAATAATTTTTCATAAAATAAGTTAACAAAATATAAAATTATTATTGTAATAATTATTTCTAAATATATTTTGAGTGAAGTGGCATGTAAGAAAGACACAGTTCACCCACCCTACGAATGCAACACAACGATGCGTTTCCACGTATACGTGGAATCGATAACTGGGAATTAGTCTGACAGGCTGTCTGCCAGAACCAAGTATGTACTTACATACATCTACGCAAAAAAACCTTGCCAATCATGTTAAAATAATTATATCATGCAAGTAATTAAATTAAATATAATTAATGCATACTTATTGATTGAAAATTATTATTAGATTAATATTATTTTTCCTTTTATACTAAGTTTAATAATAAAGTACTCTATTCGAATAACCTAAGTAACAAGAAGTTTTTATTTAAAAAATCGATAATGTCGTTATTTTCAGTTTTGATATTATCGACTGTTTTAAATAAATTTCCGAAAAAATTTTCGAATCAAGATTAAAATCCTTCTGTTAACTTGTAAATTTTATTTTTTAATTTTAATGTACAGACTATTAAAATTGAGATCTTTATCTAAAGTATTGACCTATAAATTAAAAAATGTATATTTTAGATTACAATTATACATTATATTATATTTAAAATAATATGCTAAAATAATAAATATGTTAAATAATATGTTAAATAATAAATAATATGAAAATTAATATTTTTTAACATACTTTAAAAAAAAATTCAAAAATTTAAAGTTTCGATTAAAATTCAACAAACTTCGATCAATAGTTTCATAACAGAAAATGAAGATATAAATCCGGAACAAATAAACGATTTTAAAATTAGGTTATCATAACCAGTTCATTCGTGAAAGTTTATTTTTCTATTTTTCTTCGATTCCACATAAACATCATTATTCGTATCACTCTGAAATATGTAGGAAAAAAATGTCAGCCGACAGAAAGACAAACTACAGAACAAATGAAAATATATTCGCACAAACTGGGCCGTGAAAGCTAACACAAAACCGAGATAAATAGAGGATCGCCGTAGTCGGTACCGAGGATCAATATGTCACAACCACAATACAAATACAGAAGACATACATATACATAATCGATAGATATGTACATTGTTATACTATATCGATTATTTTTCGATTATCGATTATAAAAAAATACTATATTCAGAACGATAAAAATAATTTAAATATTATTTGCAATTTATACATAATTTATAATTTTTATCTTTTTTTAACTTTGAAAGATACATAAAATATATGTATCTTTTTGCTTGAAATAAAATTAATGATATAATAAAATTTGTTAGTTCACATTTATTTATTATTGAAATCATATATCGAAATTTATAAGCAAATAAGTACTTCAAAACATTATATATAAAAAATAATAACAATTTTTGCATTTTATTATCGTTATTAAAAATTAAATATTTATTCATTTCTTCTTTTTGTTATATGCAATTTTGCAATTTTTTTTTAAATTTATCATTACAAGAAAAGCCAACATTTGTCGCTTTCGATATTATCGACCGATTTTACCACGTGAGTGGCGCTGCAGTCAATGTGTTAAATAATATTTTTTCACATGAATATTCTATCTAAATATTGGGAGATTTTTAATGATAGAAAATTGATATTATCATTAAAAAATTGTATTATAATTTTTTAAAGTCATAATTAATTCAATAATTTGATTTAATTCAATTTAATTCAATTCAATATCAAACGATATTAAGAACAAAATCATAAAACGCACTTCACAATACTCTACAAGCAATATCCAATATTCTTATAATAATAAAATATGAAAAGGCACTTGATAACCAAATTGTGTGAATACTTTAACACACTATAAATTAACACTTTTTTTCGATCGAGTTAGTCTTCTCAAATCTTAATATCTTAATTAGATATAAATATTTAATTTGAATTTACTATCCTATAATTATTTCGAAATACGAATTCAAATATACAATATAAAAATTACTAAACACATAAATTTTTGTTTACATTATTCATAGAGAATTATAAAAAATCATTAAACGAATTTTTTAGTCAAAATCTTATTACGAAATTTTTAAATATTAATTCGATAAAAAATGAATAGTTTAAAGTAATAGCACCATATTAAGGAAAAGTTATTATAAAGTGTAATATAAATATAAATCGTTTGGTATATATTATAATAGAGATTTCACGGTATTAAAAATACCTTCTCTTAACTGGCCTACATACATTCGATCGCGAATGTTAAAAAAACGCGTAGAATTATAAATAATATTTTACAAAATTTGATATTTTCCTACACTTCTCTTATTTTTTTTTTTTCTTTAAACTCTTATCCATGATAATGAATCATTATGATATTGCATTTTATGTAAGAATTACCACTTATTAAGATATGATTTAAATAAAATTATCGATTTCAATTGAAGAAATCTTCTACCTCTGCTAGTTCTCTTGCTCGGGCTTGTTGATGTGCCCAACGTTCTTCCGCAAGTTTATCGCTTACTCCCCATTTTTCGTGATAAATACGTTGTCCACAAGTTGGACATTTTTTACCCCCTATAATAAAATATAAAATATTATTTATAATATGAAAATAAAAATGAAAGTTAATTATAACAATAATAGTTACCATGGAATGGAGGAGTCTTCATGAATGTTACAAGACATTGTAAATGAAACAAATGTCCACAATAAAGTCTTTCTACATGCATATTTGCAGTTTCGTTTATTTCTGCATTTTCTGGATTGGCTGGCAAACATATTTGTCTGCATGATTGACAACGTTCTTGTGGTAATGTTTTTATACACCTGGATAATAAAATTCAATCAGAATAATAATGATATTAATATATTATAAATATTAATGAATAAACATACTTTATAAGGAAAGTAGTAACAACTTTTAAGGATGGTGAAGGTGTAAAAGGTATTTGTTGTTTTTTGTTAAGTGGTGGTTCTACACATTGTCTAGCTAATTCTTTTCCTTGACCAATGAAGTGACGTGTAAACAATGGAGGAAAATTTGTATCTGCATCTTCCAATCTAAAATATGGAAAAAATTATTCAAAGAAATTTTATTTTTATTTAATTATTATTTAAATTATTTAATTATTATTAAAATTAATATTTTAAATCATTATCAATGACACACACTTTACACAAGCAATTGGATAATTATCTGGTACTTCAATTTTAGCCTTGAAATAATATAATCCTTGCTGAACCTTCAAACCAATACAAGAATGTTTTTGTTTCAATTTTAATTCATCACTATTTTCTAAAATATTTTTTATGGCTGAGATTTCATCATAGCAACAAATTAAAGGATTTTCATCAATAAAGTTACGAATGAATTTTAATATTGGCAACACCTGAAAGTAAATTCATATAGATTCACATTGTTTCAATTAATAAATTCAATTATTTACCTGAGCTTTTCCTAATAATTTTTTGCATTCCTTTTCACAGACTTCTGTTAAACCATCAAGCAATTTCACAGATAGAGTTTTGCTTTTCAATTCAATTAATAATGGAGTATAGGGATAGTCTTTAGAAAATTGGATGCACGCGACAATTGTTTTGAACTTTGTTTTTCTATGGTTTTAATAAATATTACAAATAAGTTAAAAAATTTATAACATTATCTATAAATTATATTATAGACATAATTTAAAAAAATTAAACATACGTTATTTCCACTCGCACCATCGTGCGTACACAAGAAACGAGGCGACTACCATCAACAACATTTTGACAAAGTTTTGATATTTCTTGTAATTCATCATCGATAAAGCCCATGAGAAAAATGAAACAAATATTGTTTCACACTCTAGTAGCCTCTTATTGGTTATGTTATCAAATATCAAACATCTAAAAGGCCAATATAACAAAACTAAATTATTCTATAAAAAAGGCAATATAGACAATCCGTCACGTTTCAGTTTAATTCTTGAAAATTACAATTATGATATATAATCACTATCAAGGTCAGTCAAGAAACTTGTGGTTGATTTACACATTTGTGTTTTGAAACATGGATCATAGATTAACAACATAGTTATTTTCTCCATGATGTAACATTAAGTAATACAATAATATTATGAAATAAGAAGTATTTATATAATAACAAGAGAACAAAATAATTCAAATTCATTATTAATATTTTTTTTACTCATTGTAATGAAATATATATAAAATAATCGAAACGTATAAAATTACGTGATGATTTATATTCAATATTATATAGTATAAATGTAGTATGGTATAAATAATAATATAAAAATATATTCCTTATAAATTCTAATAATATTTCATATAAATACTATTAAATAATAATTTCAATAATTTCATAATAATCATTTCATATAAATATATATTATATTTATAAACTTAATAACTATATATATTTATTATTATAAATTAATGTAACCCGTAAAATAAAGCATTTTTAAACATGCATAACTTCGATATTATTTATATTCTTAATATTAAAATTGTGATTTTTGAAATCTATTCATCAAATTTTATCAGTTTGGGAAAAAACTTTCAAAGTTATGTATATTATTAAAACTGAAATTCAACTTAATATAATTTTATAATATAATTCAAATGATATTCTTTTAAACAATAAAAGTCAACATTTAAATTTTTTATTTATTAGATTTTCATCTAGTAATATTTAGTTAATGCTGGAATCAATCATTGCATAGAACGAAAAGTGTCTATTTGTTTTTTTTCTGAAAAATTGAAAATATGACTATGCCTAATAGAAATAATAAATCTATCCGATATATTTTCGATCTAATATAAAAAGATAAAAAAATAAATATCTTAAAATAATATAGATATCTTCGTTTGAAAGATATAATATTAATGTGTAAAAATAAATATTTTCCGGTTATAACATAACCTCTTATGCTAAAAGAAAAAAAAGAAAGTTTTTAAAGAATTAATTTCGAAAATAAAAATTTTATGTTTTAAAAAATTTATTTAAAAAAACAATAAATCTTTGAATAACATATAATTTATCATTTAAATTTACATATTTGTTTCAGCATATAGTTTATGTTGTAAATCCATAGGCAATTCTCTCATAATTTAAAAACAAAATCTATTCGTTGATGTTTCTTTTTTTGCTTTACGTAGTTTTGCTGTAGTAAAGAAGTTGCGTAAAGCAAAAAAAGAAACACTACCGAAAATTGTTAAAACTTATTTGTGTAATATGATTATAATATTAAAAATGGATCAATTATTGCCGTTTTCAATGATAAAACATTTAATTAAATTAAATCAAAGTGGTGATTCGAAAAGTTTTCTGTTACTTACAAACTTGTAAAGAAGAATAAATCAAATATTAATTCAAAATTTATTTTACTATAATAACTTATATTTGTAATGTAAATAAAATATATAAAAATTAATAAATCTTTTTTTCTAAATATTTCAAGTACTCTTTAAATACACTTTTAGTATATAGAAGATTATTGTCATAAAATTGTAATATTATCTCGTATATGGAAGATTAAAATTAAATTCTGTTTAAGTAAGAAATTTAAAATTAAATTTCGAAATTTTAAAAAATTTTGTTTTTGATGAAATTTTTACATTATGAATTATTTATTAAAATATTCAAATCATTTCATAAATTAAATATAAATTTTGTGAATTTGAATAAAATTTTTAAAATAATTATAAAATTATTAAAATTTAAAGTTTTGAAGCATTTGATGTAAAATAAATTGATAAATAATAACAAATAATAATTATACATTTTAATAATATTAATTTTAACTAAAATAATAATTTTAATTAAAAATTGTTACATTTAATTTTAAAACATTTTTTTTAAATGTTTTTCATTATAAAATCATTTATTCATAATAAATACACAAAATTTTATCATAATTTTCTATTCTTGTTTTTTAAATTATAATAAAAAGAGAGAATTAACATTACAATAACAACATATAACGAATTGAAGCAACAATCTATTGCTTAATAGAATAATGGAAGCAATTCCAGATGAAATACCAATATGAAATTATGTAATCAATTTCGTTTATAAAATTAGATTTTTGAAAATATTAAAATCTGATTCAATAATAATTGAAAAAAGTAATTGATCAAACATATAATATATGTATGATTATACATATTGTAAAAGGAAATAATTTCTACGTTAAATGATGCAAATAATTTAAAGAATCGTAGAAATTTAACTAATTAGTTTAAAAATGATAATATATGAAGAGAAAATTGATTTAAAAAAATATAAGTTTTTTATTAATTTAATTAAAAATAGAAAATATATAAATATCAATTATTATTAAATTATATTATATAAGCAATTTTTTTATTAATAAAATCATTAAATTTATATAAGTTAAAAAAGATCCAAATTTTTGAACAAGAAACTGAAAAACAGAAAATGGAATTGATTGCATGTGTAATAAATAGTGCATGGAAAAATAAAAAAAATGAAAAAAGTTTTAAATATATATAATTTTGCAGCACATGCTACTTTTGAAATGAATTTGGAAATATTTCACAATTTCTATCTACTGCTTATAAGTAAATATTTTCTTAATCTATTATTTATAATAGTGGAAATAAAATAATAAAATATTTGTAAAGTAATTAATTACATATGACATATTAAAATGCATATATTTTAATTTTAATTTTATAATATTATTATAAAGATATAATTAACTGAAAGTTTCTACATTTGTTTTGTATTTTATTTTTCATTCAATATACAAAATTTTATTTATTAAAAAAGTAAATAAATAACATAAATGTGATATATATATTTCTATTTATTTATTTTTTGAATATATATGAATAATTTCCAATAAAAAAAACATGAAACAAAAATTAGACAAAGTATATAAAGTTAAAAAACTATAAATCTAATATATTTATTGAAAAATTTAAAAAACAAAAACATTTTATTTCAAATTTCAAATTTATAGATTTTTTTATAAAATTATTATTCTATAAAATAAATTAACATTGATATCTCATATATATTCCAATATGTAACATTTTTCAAACGAGTTATCAATCTTTTAATTATAAATTTACAATAATTTAGAAGAAAATTAATATTGATTCCATAATACGGATTAAAAATAACAAGTGAAATAAATATGGCATGATAATGAAAATTATTAAAAATTATTATCCATCTACATTATAAAAACAAAAGAAATCTAGTTCATTATATACAAATAAAATAATATTGCATTTATAATAAAATACTATATGTTACTATATGTTACTAAAGGCTAGAGATGTATAGTATATTTTTACTTAAAAAAAATATAAAATATAAAGTGACATTAAAATATTTTTAAATTAATATGTATAAAGCTAATTTCATAATATAATTTAAATGGGATATTTAAACAATAGAAGTCAATAAATATACATTATAAATTTACGTTAAATTTTTATCTAGTAATATTTAGTTAGTGTCAAAATCGATCACAGTATAGAACGAAGGGCGCTGTTTCTTGTTGTCGTTTCTCTCAAGAACTGAAAACATGGCCGAGGTATGATGTGATAAATATATCTAATAAAATCTTTTTCATCTAGCATAAAAAAATAGAAATAAATATCTTAGAATAAGATATATGTATTTTTTTGTTTGAAAGATATAATATTAATATGTAAAATATTTTATATTTTAAAATAAATATTTTCGTAACATAACCTCTTATATATTCATAATTTTCAGGCAGAAGAAACTCAAAAGAAAAAGAGGACTTTCCGAAAGTTTACCTTTCGGGGAGTTGATCTCGATCAACTCCTTGATATGCCAAAGTAAGATTTTGTATTTCATAAAATATATATATTTTTATTTTTTAATTATTATTTACATATTTACTCCAGTGAACAGCTTATGGTTTTAATGCATGCCCGTGCTCGAAGACGATTTTCTCATGGTTTAAAAAGAAAATCCATGGCTTTGGTAAAAAAGTTACGTAAAGCGAAAAAGGAAACACCACCGAATGAAAAACCAGAAATTGTTAAAACTCATTTACGTAATATGATTATTGTACCAGAAATGGTAGGTTCAATTGTTGGTGTTTATAATGGTAAAACATTTAATCAAGTTGAAATTAAACCCGAAATGATCGGTCATTATTTGGGAGAATTTTCTGTTACTTATAAACCTGTAAAGCATGGTAGACCAGGTATTGGTGCTACTCATTCTTCAAGATTTATTCCATTAAAGTAATTTATATTTGTAATATGAATAAACTGTATAAAAAATAATAAGTCTTTTTTTAAATATTCTAAATATCCTTAAAATATATATATAAAAAATATGTAAGACTTAAAATTGTAATATTGTCATGAAATATATATATGTATATAGTAAATGTGTATATATATATATATATATATGTATATATCTTCAGTTATAAACTTTGTTATTGAATAATTTTTACATTATATCTTTCTCTTGTTAAAATATTTAAATCACTTCATATAAATAATATAAATTAATAAGGATAAATTATGATCAATTGAAAGTTAATTTTTTAATTGTTATACATTATCATATATTACATACATACGTATATATACACATACACACAGATTCTTCATAAAAAATATAATAAAAAATTTTTTTTTTTAATTATTTATTTAGTCCATATTGTTTAATCAATATATTTTATTATTATTTAATTCATATATTTCATAGAATTATTAATATTAATTAATCGTTTTTCTAGTGTAAGAAATATATCGATGATGCTGCTCTAGAAATGTTATACTCTATGGCGTATTATACTTCATATACTCTGTAAATCTAACCTAGTGTAATACACGTGTTTTACGGAAAATTTAAAATTCAATTAAAAAGCAAGAAAAAGAAGATACGTTTATATTTAAAAAATCATGTTAAAATTAAAATAATTCTAATAATTTTTAAATATAATAATATTACAAAAATGTCACGAATTGCTGATACAAGGGAAATTATAGTGACTAGTGACACTAATAATGAACATTGGAATGCTGCCGTGTGGGATCATCGGACAGGTTCTATTTTATCGACTTACAAAAATGCTGGTACTCTTAGTCATCGAACTCTTCAACTTTTAAATGATAGTTATATAGTAGGTGCTGATTTAACAAAACCGCGTATATATGTTTGGCCACTCAACGATCACTCTCCTGTCTCTAACCTCAGATTAACAACACCGGGTAAAGTTACTGCTCTGAAATTTACACCGAATAGTGCCTACATTGTTGCAGCAATTTCTGAAAAATTATTTATTTGGCAATCTTGTAATGGACGATTGTTAAAAAATTTATCACAACATTATCAAACAGTGAGTTGTTTATCGTTTACTAAAGACGGTTCAATTTTTGCCAGTGGCGCTGAAGATGGTTTAGTATTTGTTTGGTCGTTATATCGCGTGTTGAATGACGAACAACCTACGCCATTGCATGCTTTCTCTCATCATTCGTTACCAATAAAAGATCTACAATTCGGCCATGCCGGATCACGAGGAAGACTGTGTTCCGTATCTCTTGATCGAACATGCAACATTTACGATCCTGGTAGTGGATCGCTATTGCTCACCTTTGTGTTCGACGTACCGCTCACTTCCATTTCCATGAACATCCGTGAAAGTGATTTATTTGTGGGTTGTACCGACGGTGACATATATCGATTCAATTTACACGAGCCACCACGTGGAATAGAACATCATGTGCAGATACGGAAAGACGGAAATTCGGAGGGCGTGATAGTTTTCCAGGGACACAAATCGACCGTAGTATCGTTGTCGATATCGATCGACTGTCGATATCTGCTGTCAGGCTCGATAAGCGGTGAGGTTCATGTTTGGGATATAGCCAGTCATCAGATTCTTCGAACAATCAATCACAAGGGACCAATCACTGCAGCATTCTTTGCTAAATATTATGAGAATTTCCGGGTCACTAATCTTAAACCATGCTTGCAATTGTGTAATCTACAGAGAATATCTGATGATACTGGAAAAGAAAGTTCTATCGATGTAATATCAAACAATCAAAATTTGGCGGATATTTTAAATTTCGAATTATATACGGAAAAAAATGTCGATCTGACAAGATTAGAGGATTCAAATTCGCAGAAACTTGTTGAGATGAAGGAAGAAATTGATAGACTAAAGAAAATTAATACTGCTATTTATCAATACAGCGTAAAACATATTCTGAATAAGTCGAATGAAAATATATCTTCAGTTTGAACATATGAAAATTTATTGTAGGTATGAAAATTATTTAAATATCACATATTAATTGTTAGATTATTTAAGAAATTTTTTACCTAAATATCATTTTATAAAACTGATAGTAATAAAAGAATACTTGTTGCATATTATAAATTAAGTTTATTTTTATATCTTACCTTGATTCATTTCTTGACGTATTTTGAAAGTTAAAACGCGAATAAAATATAATATATAGTAAGATATTACTATATTACTTTCATAATTTATAATTGTTTAAATATAATTATATTTATTATTTTTTTCAGAGAAAAAATTATAACAGATAAACTATAATAATTTGATTAGAATAATCTCATAATTATAAAATGTTGCTACATTTAAAATAAAAAATAAAAAGCATAAAAATTATATTAAAATTATATTGTTACAAATAACATTTATTTCAACATTTCTAGAGTAGGAAATTTATTCAAGCGAGAATTGATGCGTAATGTTTCCTTATAAATATTAATATCATAAATATGATTTGATAAATTATGGTAATTCGTAATTAAATATAAATATGTATAATTTGAATGAATTTTAATTAAATAATTATTAATTATAATGCCACTAATAAAATTGAGAACAAAAAGGTATAATTCGTTTCCTTTTAAAAAAAAAAAAAAACTAAAGAATTCAGGAAATACAGAAAAATTGATATGTTTATAGTTTTGGATGTAAGAAGAACAAGATATTTTCCATAAAATAGTCTGCAAAAATATTAAACAAGGCCGGAAAATATGAATAATATTTGGAGAAATAGAGAGAATAAGATAATCGATAGTGAAACTTCTTCAAGCTTGTGTTCGAATGGAACATAGAATATTTGTATATGTCGATGATCCTGTATATTATCATTTTATACGAATATCCACAAATTTCATTTGAATAGATTAATCTCTTTTTCACGAATTTTTGAAGTAGCCATGCATAAAATTCTCGCGTTACGCACGAGGGAATTATATTACATGGGAATAAAAAAAAAAAAAGGAGGAAAAAATCCAAAGATTTTCATACACGAATATGTTCTTTTCTCCTCTTCATTTTTAATTATTTTCCGTTCATTTGGATAAAATATTTGAATTTTCAACAAATTTACGATATTAATTGGTCGCAGGTTGAACGAATTTGAATTTATATGAAAAATTTCTACATGAAGCTTTCATTTTCATTTTCATACCTTCATACCTTTAAAATCAGTCTGTTTTTGGAATTCTTGTTTAAAAGAACGAGAATATATCATTTTTATTGCAAAATAATTTTTTAAATTTAAACATTAAATTTCATATTTTCACTAGAATTTTTATATTCGATAATTTTTTTTTAATAACTTTATTCACGTGTCTTTCTTTTATTTTAAAAATTGAGAGGTCATTTATTTTTACAGTAAATTTTTCACTTAAATACTTAAGATAATCATTACTTTATTTTTTTCCATCGTAAAACATCATGGTATCGTGATTCCGTAGAAAAATGAGATTAATTATTCTCTTGGCATTAGTCATAATTTGCTCGATGCAATATAATTTTCCATCGGACAAATCACGGGATTCCCCGCGGTATTTTTCACTCTGACTACTAGTACCCTCCTACTAAACCGCTTATTTCGTTGTGGCCATTATCTACCGTCTAACATTTTGTTTCAAAAGTATCGAAATTAATCCTTGTTGACATGATAGAATCGAAAAGTTCGAATTATCTTGACAGTAAATTCTAATTATAATTTTACATTAATTACTCATCTTTTACGAAGTAATCTCGTGTTTCAAGAGAGATCTGTCGGTATAATTATTCCAATCTCGGAAAATTAAGATGGGAGATTAGTTCTTGCGAAAATTATTTTCTTCATCGTTTTTGATACATTTTTTTTTTTTTTTTTTTTTTTTTTTTGTAATTTAACTACTTGATACGAAGTAAAAAGTAAATTGTCCTTTACTGATGTAAAATGTTAAAATGATTTCGTTTCTCATAATGTAATCTTTTTTTTTTTCGTAATACTATGTAAAAATAACTTACTATATTATATAATAAATATATTTATTATAGAATTAATTGTTCTTATAATATAATTATTCTTATAATATAATAAGACTGTATTCACTTTTCAGATTATTTAGTATGTTCATTTGTTCGAATGAAAGAATAATTTTCCATTTAATGTAAAATTATTTTACATTTGAATTATTTCGTCATTTCTATTATAATTATTATTTGCTGTTATACTTAATTTTATTATTATTATTTTTTTTTATTATCAATAATGGAAAGACATTTTTATTGATATTCTCGTAAAAAACAAAACTAAATGAAAAAGTAGTTTTATAATTAATTATTAATTAATAGTTATTATATTGCACACGTACAACATTGATCATAAAATCAAGTAATCTGTTTATATAATTATTGTATTAATTTCTAATCTAGAGAATGAAAAAATTGCAATCGATTCCATATAATGCACATCCTGTTCTTTTTTCTCGTTTTTAAAGTAGTACTCATAAATACATAAACATTCACAGAACATAGTTACAAGCAAAGAACGATCCAGTTTTGAAAATTTATTGGTACATGTTTCAAGTTACTTTATCATTACGACCTATATATATATATTCAAAGATATTTTGATATTTATATTTATTAAATTATAACGTTTCATCTTTTTGAAAAAAATATTAAATATTTAATATTTCTTTAATATTTCATTTCCTAATAATTCGTGTATAATTTATTCTCAAGTACACTTAACGAATATTCGATATCGATTTACTTTGAACATTTTTCACGAGAAAATGTCGCTTTATAATTTTCTAAAATTTTCAACGTAAGTTTTTTTTCTTGAGTTCTGTTACGGAAACGATCTTCTATATATTCGAAGACTTTTACTCAGCGTGCTATGCTGAAATAAATAAAATCGAATCCGTATTTCTCGTTCAAAGAGCAAATAACGCGAATAATAATGAATTTACGCGATTCATATCTGTGCACAGAAAATTGCTGGGATAAATCAATTGGAATATATATCAGCAAAATGAATCCATAATTATACATTAGACTTACTATGCTCCAAGATTAAAATTCTGTTCGTATCGATTGAACAGCATTTTCTTCTTATCAATCAATTTCAAACAACCCTTTATTTTATTATTGTATTTTTTTTTAAAACCATTTTCTCTTATATTAAAATATTATAATTATTATTGTACGGGATATAATATATTTCGCTTTAACGATCTGAATAATTTTTTTATTATTTTAATGCGGATAAATAAAATTTATTTGAGTTGTGCACGCCATAAATGTATCATTCGAATACATTTCGTCGACAATACTTTTTTTTTTACGCTCTCAAAAATTCTAGAAACAATTCAAAGTTATTTATTAATATCTCTACTTTACTAGTACAGTGATTCCCAATGATTGGATTCTCTATATTCGAACCTGTTGTATTTTAATACAAAAAAAAAAAAAAAAAATCGAGATATTAATCTAATGATTTTTTTTTTTAATCTTTTAAAGTTATAATAAATGAAATTTTTCCTCTTTCTCTCCGTAAAAATTTGTTTCGATGTGATTTCGTTTGATTTCATTGGAAATCAATCAAAGATTTCGATTAACATAGATATTACAACGCATTAAATATAATATAATATAATTATAGAAATAACATTTTTGTTGAGAGAGAAGAGAAAAAAATATTTGGAACAATAAGAAAGAATAGATTATTGATATAAAGATGAATTAATAGAGTCTTATAGCATGCTGTAATTAGGACAATGTCTAAGTAATGGGTTATAATATCCAAAGAAATTGACGATGCACGCGAATAAACGGAATTTCCTTACCGTTTCGAAATTAAGGAGAGCAGTGAATTTACTATTCCTCGTAAATTTGTTTCGTTGCACAAGTTTGTAAGCTTGTAATATTACGAGATCCTTTGCCAACGATAATAGATCTTCTCATTGTGCCTAATACAATGATCGACCTGTTTTTCGTCGAAGAAAAAAATAGAGAATGAGAAAGGAAGATGGAAAAAAATTGACCAATTCGAAACGGATCACAGAGAAGAATATCACATTTTCGATCGTTTTCCAAGGGTTGAAGCGTAATATTTTCCAATGAAATGGAAAATAGTATTATTGATGTGTTAAATAACGATCTTTTTTAAAGATTTTTATTAATTTTTTTCAAAGATTTTTATTTTTATTGAAGACTTTTATTGAAGAAGAACTTAAAAGGATTGTTGTTCACAAGTATAATTTATGACGAAAAAGGAAAATATTTTTTTGATTCTTACACATTTGTATTAAAATGACAAATTGTCCTTGGCCAACTTATTAAATATTTAAAAGATTATTTATGTATCAATTAATTTTTTTTTATGTACTCTATAAAATATTAATATATTCGTAAAATATTTTTTGAAGGATTAATTCTAAAGGCCAGAATGAAAACGAAAATGGGTAAACAGAAACGTTAGTTAAAACTTATTTATTAAGTAATAAACAAATAAAGTTAAATGAAGCAAGGCGAGAACAAAGTACAACAACAAGTAGTGTAACGAAGTCAGAGAGATCTCGCTCTCTTTCTCACTTTATCTAATTTCAATTACTTATAACTTTAATAATAAACAATTGACATTTTTGTATATTGACTTTTGTGTTTGTTTCAGTCCCTGAAATTGATCCTTTCGCCTATAATTGGAATATTAATACCCAATATAAAATCCAACGTGTAAATATATATATAACATCCCACTATTTAATCAATTTTGTTGCGATTTCATTATTTTCCTTTCATTCCAAATCCTTCAAATTTTATTAAAAAAAAAGAAAAATAGATAAATGAATAAACGTTAAAAATTTGAAATATATAATTCCAATACAACCAGAGTTTTTTATCACGAAATATATCTCTCTAACTTCAATATCCCAGTTAGTTTAATTAAAACGTAAAACATGTTAGATCTTGGACGCGTTGAACACGTCGCCATTATCAACGCAGTTTGTATTCAAATGAGTCGCGAATGAATGCAAACGAGGGGGTTGTTTAACGAAACGCGTGCCCGATGCGTGAGAGAATAAATTAGGACTAAGATGGCCGGTCTAATAAGGATAAGGAGCGTTTCTTTCGTCATAGAAAACAATTTCCATGATGAACATAACTATAAGGAAGAATCGAGAATAATCTTGGTAAATTTCTATATTTCACTTTTGTATATTCTTCTCTATTCTTTAAGAAGCATCTTTTCTTCTTAAGAAGAAAAATTAACTTTAACTTTT